TTAAAGGAAATGAGGTCCCATGTGCTGTTGATGGTCCACAAACTTTATTGTCTTTAAAAGCCCAGTGCATTTTGGCTTTGCCACGAGTTGGCCTTCTTCGGGGGCTATTATCATAGATTTCTGGAATTGCAGTCTGCATTGTCAACAAAGTGGACACTCTCAGTATTAGAAGAACAACGGTGGACCATCGACAGCATGTGGGACCTCGTTTCTGTTAACTCTTCTAAATGTCCATCTCAGGCCTAGAGGTTAGTGCTGTGAACCAGACCTCTAGTAGCTGTTGCCTTGCCCAACTGTCTAATGTCTTTCCTGTATTTATAGGAAGTGAATGGGGGCTTGCCTTCTGTAGGAGCCCTTGACCTGGCCCTTCAGTTGGAAGCTCCAGATGTCCTAGAAGCACATGTAGAATCTCTGATCCATTCTTTAGTAATAACAGCTTGGGGCCATTCAATAAATGGAATGGCACAACAGTCAAAGACTTTTAAGCACTGCCACATTTCTGTGCACAAATCTGTCAGTTTTCCTTTAGGAGAGCAAAAAGGATCAGTTATATCCTCTTAGGGATTTTAAGCTTCCTATCAGAAACTGGCAAACTTCAGAGCAACTTTTAAAACAAGCTTGTTATATGGTGATGCTGTTGGTACAAAATCAAAGTGTCACTTTTCTTTGGATAAGAAGATAGTAGTCCCATTTGCATTGTTTTGCAACCCTGGTACCATGACTAAAAAAAAGTTGTGTTCGTTCACTGGCTGAATAAATTAAGTACTTGTCAAGAAGTAAAGATCTGCCTCACTTGAAGCAGAGTGATTTAATTTACATGTTAAACGTCTCTGCACTATCTAAATATAATATACCTGTTGAACAGAATATGACAGATATAAAATAAATAATTGAGTTTAGTAAGAAGCTACCAACAGACTAAAAGTTTTATTTCTTTGCTAAATTGCTCCATTCCTGCCTCAAAATTTCTATGTTCACAATCTTAGTGGCAAGCCAGAGATACTTGGCATAAATCCAGTTTGTTTGGGGATTTTTTTTAAAAAAAGTGTCCCAGTCATACTTCTTGCAATCTTATACATGTTTACTTATAAGTGAATTTTACTCGTTTCAGTGGGCTGTTTAGGTTGGAGTATGGGAATACAGTTTCGCAGGCATGTTAACATCTTCAGATCAGTTAAGCATAAGCTGTTTCTCTGTCAGGAAGGAACAGATCTGTGTGACCCATGGAATCAGATGAAAAACCTCTTAACTGAAGAGACTAAG